AGAAGCCAGTTCATTATAATAATCAACAAAATTGACAAATATTTGTTAGATTGACTAAGATAGAAAGTGGGAAAAATCAAATTACTAAAATCAGAAAAGAAAGTAGGACATTACTATAGATTTTACAGAAATAAAAAGGAGCATAAGAGAATACTATGAACAATTTGCTTCGGGGAGAGGAACTAGATGGCAGGGGAACAGTGAAATTTTACTTTTTGAATTTTGTCTTGTATGCATGAGTAATATGTTTAACCAGTAACAACAAACTTGTGAGCATGAGAACAGACCAAAAGGAAAATAATATATTAAAGTGTAAATTATCTGTGCTGCACTTCCTAATGTTCCTGCGATAAGCTTGTGTTACCTTCATGATTGGAATAAAAACCAGCCCTGGCCGATGGTTAGAGCATCAGGCTGGGAACTGAAGGATCTTGGGTTTGACTCCCAGGCAAGGGCACGTTATCTGGGCTGCAGATTCATTCCCCAGCCCAGTTCCAGGTGTGTTTGGCAGGTAACCAATCATTATGTCTCTCTCACATCAATGTTTCTCTCTCTCTCTCTTTTCTCTTCCTCTCTCCCTTTCTCCCTTCCACTCTCTCTAAAAATCAGTGAAAAAATATCCTTGGGTGAGGAATAACAAAACAACAACAATAAAAAAGATTTTTAAAAAATATATGTTTTTCTTGATTTTAGAGAGAGGAAAGGAGAGGAAGAGACAGAAACATTGATGAGAGAGAAACATCAACATCGATTGGCTGCCTCCTGCATGCCCTCTGCTAGGGATCAAGCCCCAAACCTGGCATGTGCCCTGACCAGGAACCGAATTGTGACCTCTTGTTTCACAGGTCCATGCTCAACCACTGAGCCATATCGGCTAGGCCCAAAAAGATTTTTTAATATTTGTCATATTCGTGTGTATACAATTTTTCTTGTTTCTTTAAGATTTAATATCATATCAACTTTTACCTCTTCTTTGACTAGAAGAATTCAATGAAAACAGCATCTTCTCCTTGTTTGTGAGCAGGAACTGGAAATCCGAAGTTTTGCATTCCCAGGTGAGACCTCTGCCTGAACTGAGAATGGAAGCACTTTAGAAACAGAAAAGAAGTCCTAGCCGGTTTGGCTCAGTGGATAGAGCACAGCCTGTTCGGACTGAAGGGTCCTGGGTTTGATTCCCGTCAAAGGCACAAGCCCGGGTTTCGGTTTGATCCCCAGTGGGGGGCCTGCAGGAGGCAACTGATCAATAATTCTCTCTCATCATTGATGTTTGTATCTCTCTCTCCCTCTCTCTTCCTCTCTGAAATCAATAAAAATATATTGAGAGAAAGAAAGGAAGGAAGAAAGAAAGAAAGAAAGAAAGAAAGAAAGAAAGAAAGAAAGAAAGAAAGAAAGAAAGAAAGAGAAGAGCAGGTTCTCAGGGAGCCAAAGAAGGAGGATGTCGTTCTAAATATAGATTGGAATGTGATGACTGGACTCAGGCATTTCAGAACTAATTTTTAAGTCCCAGTGTTCAGGCAACTGTCAGACAAAGGCTGGTGGAAGCCAGTGTGATCAGGTCCCTGGAAACCAGCTGGTGAAGCTGGAAAGAAGAAGCTGGCTATGGATGTGGGGTAGGCAGGGTCAGCACCTTCAAATACTGACAGCAGTGAATTCTGTACCCACACTAAGAGGGGAAAGGCCTGGGCTCTGGTCAAAGGCAACGAGCCAGGTCAGTCTCTGGATTGACATCACTCTCGTGCCAAAAGAACACAGGCGGCTCAGACTGCCTTTTCATTTGTGCTGGATGGAAAGCGTGCTGGACAAGAATCCAAATAGTTCAAAGCTTTGAGGCTTGGCCCTCTGGCCCATTTCTCTCTGTGCTGGGCCAGTGAAGAACTCCGGTCTCTACAGACTCAAGATTATCTGGACAAATCAGAATATCCTAACTTTTTTATTTTATTTTATTTTTTTTAAAGCTTTTTTTTTTTTTTAATATATTTTATTGATTTTCCACAGAGAGGAAGGGAGAGAGATAGAGAGTTAGAAACATCGATGAGAGAGAAACATCGATCAGCTGCCTCCTGCACATCTCCTACTGGGGGTGTGCCCACAACCCAGGTACATGCCCTTGACCGGAATCGAACCTGGGACCTTTTAGTCCGCAGGCTGACGCTCTATCCACTGAGCCAAACCGGTTTCGGCTATCCTAACTTTTTTAAATGAACACTTTTTTAAAAATCCTTCCCCTCTCCGCACCCCCCCTCCCCCCGTAGAATATCTCATCAACCATCATTATATTATGTGGAATATTTGTTTGGATTTTGTGTTGCCTCCTCAATAAGAATGGAAGCTCCATGAGGACAGGGGGCTTTTTCTGCTCCATTCACTGCCGTTCTCTCAAAGCTCAGAAGACAGCCTGATGCAAACAATTGCTCAGAAGATTCTTGTAGAGTTACAAAAAAACAATACTGCCAACAAATTGTTACAAAATATTCAACTAGTAAAGGTAAAAAAGGTACGAATTCAGTTTGCCCATATCTGCATCGAATTCTACTCCCCCAAGATAACCATTATAACATTTTTATGTGTACAATATTAATCCTAAAACAATTTTCTGTCTTGTTTATTTCTGATATCTTACTAAAGCAGCCCACAGTGCCTGGCATAGAAGTACTTGATAAAAACTAGTTGAAAATCTGATGAATTGGTTGTAAAAAGTCTCAGGGTTGGGGTAGGAGGGTTAAAAAAAAAAAAAAAAAAGAAAAGGTTGGCAGTTATAGGTTAGTTCCCCACACAAATTAGGGGAGCTCCTTGAGTTAGGCATTCATCTATATATCGCAAGTATCATGGAGAGTGCTTGGACACTGCCAATTATTTATTCAGCACTTCCTCAATGACCCAGCCATATAACGAGGAGAGAATTTTGATTCTCCAGCCTGCTACACGACATCTGGCTTCCTTGCATAAGAACTCCCTGCCCTATTAAACTGGCCCAATGCCTTCCTACCATACATAGCGTGCTGGCCAAGGCAGAATTCCCATCCCAAGAGGCTCTCTATGCCTCTTTGCTGCTTGCAAGATAGAATGAGAGGACCCTCCCATGGGCCACAAATACCCATGCTCATGCCCAGCACGTCTGGATGGACCTCTGCCAAGTTAGAACCTCTGAGAGACAGAGATCTGTCAGCCTCTCTTTGTGACGATGTCACAGGAGATTTGCCTGAGTGCCAGCTTTTCTGTGGAAAAGGTAGTTAAAGCCAGAAAAGTCAGTGATTCAGTCACTGAAAATACAATATTGAAGCATTAAGCTGGCATGTGGCAATTTACAGCTGTCACACCACACTCACTAAGTGAAATAACATTTTGTGCCAGACTTCCAAAGACATAATCACATGAAAACTATTTTTATTGCCTAGATGCATGGTTAAAAGTAGTTTACCACAAATGTAGGAAAGTCTACTACAGGATCTCCGCTGAGAAGTATAAATTCAGAGAGCAAAGTGGTTGTTTCCAATTTTACTTCAGAAAGCATTTAGTTATAAATAAAGTGATGCACTAAGCATAGAAATATGACTCAGGGTGGAATCCTTGCTAGTTAATAACTTTATGAGTCAACAAAACTAAGTCAACTTTCCTAGAATTCACTTTTATGATAGAAAAACTTCTTAGTAGGCCTGGTACACTTTTAGGTTCCAATTCACTTTTATTTTCTTCTTGACTTCTGCTTATTTCGACACCAGGTCCTTTATCTTCCAGAAGTTAAACAAAATTTTTCAATCTTGCGCTGTACTTACTGCTGGGTTCTCTTAGTCTGAATAAGTCTATCTGCTACCACGGGGGGGGGGGGGGGGGAGAGGGGGAGAAGAGGCAATGAAGAGAGGACTGTATCATCAGTGTCTAAAGCATTAAACGTTGCCAAATAAGTCCTAGGGCCCTTGCACCTGCTAGCCCCTTGGTTTGAGAAACCCTTTTCCCAAATCTTTGAGTGGCTGCTTCCTCATCATTCAGGTTTCAGCCAAAGCTCAGTCCTTCCTGACTATCCTATTTAATATTGCCCTCCTCCCATCCCTCTGTTTCATGACACTTAGTCTTATTTTTCTCACATCACATCATCTGAAATTATATTATTTATTTTATTATTGTCTGTCTCATTAGATAAGACCTAAGCACCATGTTTGCCTTGGGTATTACAGTATCCCAGCACCTTGAACATTGCCTGGGGAAAAAGTATTTGGCAAGGCTGGAAGGAGGATGAATATTGGGATAAGGCAGGATTTAAACAAAAAAGAATGGGAGCAAGGCTAATGTAGAAATGTGGGCAAGGCTAACATACCAAGAAAGGAGCCTAGGAGGCAGGAGACGATTAGGAAAGGAAGGGTACAGAGTGGGTAATGACTACAGAGAGTGTGGCTTGCAAGAGAGGTTCAATGTGGGAGGTATTGGTGATTGAGGTTAGAAAATTTGGGACGATTAGGAAAAATTCAATTTGGGACAGTTTGCAGTGTTTGCAGACTATCGGGGGGGGGGGGCGTTAAACATCAGGAGAGTATAAATTAAGATCTAAAGCTCAGCAAACTTTATGCCTATGAATAATAAATAAGGAAGTCATCAGCCTATGAGTGAGAAAGAAAATTTTGGTAGCAGATAGACTTATTCAGCAAGGAGAGTAGATGAAGATGAGGAGATGGCCAAGAACAGAATCTTAGAGGTCACCTGTGTAGGGCAAGTGGAGAAGGATACAGAAAAAGAACGGTCAGAGAAGTAAAAGGAGAACCCATGGAGGGGGGATCACAGAGATTCAAGAAGGCAAGCTCAGTAACCATGGTAAAAACAAGTGAAAACTGAGTAAAAGTCCCTGGGTTTGGCAGTTAGAAATCGGTGACCTTTGAGTGGGAAGTTTCAGTATTGGGGAGATGTTTTCCTTATATCTTGCAGAAAGCACACAGCAAAGGTTATCACCAATTTTCTTAATTATCTCATTGTCTTAGCTCTGGTTGCTATAACAAAATACTCACAGACTACGTGGCTTCAGTAACAGATATTTGTTTCTCACAATTTGGGAGGCTGGGAAGTTCAAGATCTAGATGCCTGCTGATTCAGTTCCAGGTGAGAAATCTCTTCCTGGCTTGTGGATAGCTACCTTCTTGCTGTGTCCTCCTATAACAGAGAAAGAGAGTTCTGGTATCTCCTCTTTTCCTTTGAAAGGCACTAATCCCATCCTGGGGCCTCTACCTTCATCATTTCATTTAAATACCTCACGGGTAGCCAGGATACAAAGCGAAAGGAAACAGGATCTGGAACACCATCAGGGATCGTGATCCTGGTAGTCCTCTAATCTTCTCTCATCTCTATTTCTCTGGGCACCGTTTTGGTATCCCCTATCTTTGAAGACTAGCTTTTAATGTTTTGACATGAATATGGCCAAACAGGGGCACTCTATAAGTTCTGAGCATGCACCTCTTCAAGGATTGCCAAGAAAAGACAATTCTTTCCTTTAAAATATTTTAAGTCTAGATTTTTTTTCTATGATTTCAAAAGCAAGCAACAGAAAAGAAATCACTCAATTGCTCCATCATCTCCCTGGGTTGTCAGGCAGGTATAATTATCACAATCTTATACCAGGTATGTACATGTGGGCACAAAAACTACTGACTTATTCCTTGTTGTTTTCCACCATGTCATGAGGCCTGCTATGAATGGAAAACCTTTTCCAGCCTAAGGACAACAATTTCTATTTTCAAAAGTTAACAGCAAAATACCAGGCCTGTGTGTCATAGCGGTTGAGCATCAACCTATGAACCAGGAGGTCACAGTTCAATTTCAGGTCAGGGCGCATGCCTGGGTTGCCGGCTCAGTTTCCCAGTTTGGGGAGTGCAGGAGGCAGTTGGTCAATAACTCTCTCTCATCATTGAGGGTTCTATCTCTCTCCCTCTCCTTTCCTCTCTGAAATCAATAAAAATATAATTTAAAAAAAGAAAGAAAACAACAAAATATGAACAGTTAAACCAGAAGGAAGGTATTCCACTTAAGTAAAAACCAGTCATTGCCCTTCCAGCATGTGAAGATGCAGGGAGAAAAAGAAGGCTACTTACGAACAAACTGTCACCAGACACCAAATCTTCCAGGACCTTGATCTTCAACTTCCTAATCTCCAGAACTGAAAGAAATAAATTTCTGCTGTTTGAAAAAAGAAAAAAACACACAAAAATACCAGCCATCCGCTTAGTCAAGCACCTTGGGTAGTTTCAGGCAAATAAAGCTCTGAGCAGAAAATATGATTGGGAATTAATCAGCTCCTTTAGCATTTAATCTTTTTCACCCAGTTATTTCTGTTCACCTATCCTCCTCTGAATAATCTTACATCATTTTACTCCTCAGGGAATCTGAGCATTGCATTATTATTACTTTTTTTTTTTCTTTTTTTTTTTGAAATTGGGCTGTGAGGCATTTCAAGTCCTTTGGTAAGAGCAGATACCTTGGGGAAGGTATCTTACTAAGTAACATCTGTTAGCCTGGGGAGTAGGAGGTGGAATTGTGTAAGATTTTTACTTCCTAAATTAACTATTTCTGAATTGTTAGACATTTTTACAATGAGTATGGCTTGCTTTTGAGAAAATATATATATAAACACATACTTTAAAAAAAATGTTCAGCTCGGTATGGCTCAGTGGCTGAGCATCGACATATGAACCAGGAGGTATCGGTTGAATTCACAGTCAGAACACGTGCCCGGGTTGCAGGCTCAATCTCTAGTGTGGGATTCTCTTTCATCACTGATGTATCTACCTCTCTTTCCCTCACCCTTCCTCTCTGAACTCAATAAGAATATATATTTAAAATGTCCAATGCCTTCCAAAGGCAACCCCACAGGAAAGAAAGGTATTTTATCTATGGAGCTCGCTAAGGAGATGATGCCATTTTCTCCATATTCTAGTGCTTGTTGTCCTCTTTTGCTCTTTGTTTCATGATGAAATTCTATGCTTTTCTATAATTTTAATGTCTTAACTAAACTATTATGTTGGGGTCCAGCCCCAGCAGGTCCAGGAGTTCCCAAAGGTGTGGAAGGAGTCAGCGAAGAAGGAATGACTCGGAGACAGCGTTCAGTTGATCATCAGCCTAGCCAGGTTCTCTAGCCAGGTTCTAGCCAGGTTCTATCTTTATTCTCCTGTTACATCTGTATTTATACCAGATGATTTTAATCCTATCCATTCTATTCCAAAGGTTAGGGCATTTGTTATCTCCATTCCAAGGTCACTACTCTATTGTTCTGTTAAACTACGAGGAAGTAACTGAAAGAGATTATCCTAAGTAAAGATTATGTAGCTTAAGCGTGATTGTTCGTAGTTAAAGTGATTAATTACCCGCCTGGCACTTAGTTAAGGGGTTTTATTCCCTTCCTTAGTCCTGTTAATCCCTAACTCCAGGGAAAAATCCCCACCTGGGGAAATAGCCTTTCTCGAAGAGGTGACCACATAGCGCTAAGAACGGGAGCAAACATATTAAGAACAGTATGCCATATACGCCAGGTCTCTTGAAACATATGCTGTGCAGATGTTTCTTCCCTGCAGCGACTGTGTCAAGCAACAAGGATGGACTGGCTTCCGGCACTATTAAAATAACCTGAAGGCTCTGCCCCCCGTCTTGCCCTTAGTAAATCATTCCCCACACTGTTACTGGAGTGATCTTTCTAAAACACAGGCTTGAACTTGTCACATCCCTGCTGCAAATTATGTAAGGCTCCTCCTCCCCTGAAAGCTTCAGAGACTCCATGAACCAGTCCTCACCTACCTGCTCCTCTAGCCCCATTGCCCTTTACTTCTCACCTTACTCTGGAAGCTTCCACAATACCAAACTAAGTTTTAAGGGTCAGCACCTCAAGGCCCAGTCTGAACCATCTCCGTCTCTGCCTAGATGAGGATGTACAAAGACTTCTCCAAAATGCTTGATTTGCTGGGGCTGGATGCAGGTGTGCTCCTATCTGTAGGATTGAGGTCATAGGGATTGAGACACAAGGGTTGGTACTAAGGCAGGTGGAATGTCATCACCTTGCTGATTGACTGTGAACATCTCCTCATTCCTATCTTAACAACAGCAGAATCACCAGCACATCTCCACATCCCCTTGACATTGGTTTTCTCTGTGCCTTTATGGGTCTGACATAACTCTCTGGTGGCTTCTGTGAAGTCTGCCAAATGGATTACCTGGCATTTCTAACCTGGAAGCAGCCTCAGAGTGGGTGTCATATAGATCAGAGGCTGCTGTGGCTTAGCTCTGCTGAGCCTCTTGAGTTCCTGTTGTTGCTGAAGAATCAGGAAGTAAGAGTGGGGAGGGGAGGAGAGAAAGAGGACACACCAGAGAAGCTCTATGCCCCAAAAAGCTGTATTATCAAAGGCCAGCAGTTCTTTGACTGCAATTATTGTGCAATAATTGGAAGCACCCCAAGCTTTCAATCCTCTTGTTCATGCACAGTTTATTGAACTAGTGTGCTGTGAGAACATAAAAAGTGTGTGCTAGTGATTACAGCTGGGGCAAATACTCAGATGGGTGGTCAAGGTCTGGGAAGAAATATGGCAAAATATAAGTTGTGTCAGGTTAGTGGTGTTATGGATGATTTTTCCCTTAAAATTTTTTGATTAGTTCATCATTTCAATACTTGTTAAGAGAAGAGGGCATAGAGAAAGCGGAGAATGCTGTACTCTTGGGACCTGAATTTCTAGGGCCTAGTATAATGGAATATATATATATATATATATATATATATATATATATATATATATATACCACAATAGCCCATCATGAGTCACAGCTTATCTGAATACACCCATAGAATTAGAAAGTCATAGAAGTCCCTTCAAGGTACCTTAAAAACAGTATAGTCCAATTCTTCATTTCATTCATTCACTAGAGGCCTAGTGCACAAATTTGTGCACCAGTGGGGTCCCTTGGCCTGGCCTGCGGGATTGGGCCGAAACCAGCTCTCTGACATCCCCTGAGGGGTCCCGGATTGCAAGAGGGTGCAGGCCAGGTGGAAGGACCCCACTGGTGCATGATTGGGGCCGGGGAAGGATGTGGGAGGTTGGCCAGTTGGGAAGGGAGCGCGGAAGGACTCCAGGATGTGTCCAGCCCATCTTGCTCAGTCCCAAAGGACCAGACCCTAGCAGTAAGCTAACCTACCAGCTGGAGTGTCTGCTCCTGGTGGTCAGTGAATGCCATAGCAAGTGGTTGAGAGGCCTTAGCATATCATTAGCATATTATGCTTTGATTGGTTGAACGGCTGACCAGACACTTAGCATATTAGGCTTTTATTATATAGGATTTATTCATTCATTCAATTCTTCCTTTTATAGAAGTAAAAGTGGAGACCTGGAGAGAACCAGCAGTTTTCCACACTAGCACAGTTCATTTGTGGCAGAGTCCAAAGAAGAACTCAGCCTTCTACCGTTTATCCAAAGAAAGGAACAATTTTTATTCCTACTATGGTCTTTCAAAATCACTCTGTTCATTCTCCCTTCCTAACTGCTTAACTGCCTGTGTTTGGTCCCCCTGCCAGCCTCTCACCTAGCTCTCAGGTGAGATAAAACTTCAGTCTCTCTACCCCACTACTCAGGGAACTCGGGTCAGGTTGTCCCAGAACTCTCTCACCATACTCTGCTCTAGTTCCCAGCCACCTACCAGCATTTCTTCCATTCAGCACACACCCACCTGAAGATGTTAGTTTGTCTTTCCTCCTGGCAGGTCCCCACTGCTTTACCTTATCTTGACCAAAGAGTGAGAAAACTACAGCACTCTGATAATTCTCTTTTTAAAAAAATCCTCACTTTTCAAACCTCCTCTTTGATTCTCTTTTCTTAGGCCAAAAGTGTGTGACAGACTACAGGTTTTAGAATCTATTTGGGGGCCAACTTTTGAGCAAGTCTTTCATAAACGAACTGACACATCTCCTTAGAATGTGGGGTGCTTGCCTCCAATTATGCTAATCTCTGAAACAGAAAACAGGGATATTTCATTTAAAATCCTGTCACAGGCCTCGCCCTGCTATGGCTCAGTTGATTGGAGTGTAGTCCTGTGCAACTAAAGGTTGCTAGTTCGATTCTCTCTTTCTCTCTTTTCCTTCCCCTCTCTCTAAAATCAGTAAAACATATCCTTCGGTTAGGATTTTTCAAAAATCCTGTTACAATTGCATCTATTTCTTTTTTTTTATTTACTTTTTGTTTTATTGCTTAGAGCAGTGGTTCTCAACCTTGGCTGCACATTAGAATCACCCGGGCATCTTTTTAAAATCCTGATTTCTGGGCCTCATCCTCCGGAAATTCTGTTTCTTTGTTATGGGTTGGGGCCACAACATTAGTAACAAAAAAACAGAATTTCTGGAGGATGAGGCCCAGAAATCAGGATTTTAAAAAGATGCCCAGGTGATTCTAATGTGCAGCCAAGGTTGAGAACCACTGGCTTAGAGTATTACAAAGAGTAGTACATATGTCTCCTTTTTTTTCCCCTTGACATTCCCCCGGCCTCCCTTACCCCTCAGTGTCTTGTGTCCATTGGTTATGCTTTTAACAATTGCATCTATTTCTTTCCCAGTTCTCTTTGCTTCTTATTATAGTCCAGCTGAAATATTTAGTTTGTTAGACCCTGTTGTGGGACCCACCTCTGTCTCCCATCTTCCTCTTATCTGAGACCATTCAGTAGTTCCTGTAGACTCAGTCATGACTTAGTCACTGGATGTAATCCTGTGCAGAGGCAGGAGGAATTTATGGCATTTTAGTCCCTCGCTCTAGCATTTCCTATCAAGGCGGATGTTGGTCTAAATTATGTTCCAATTTTATCAGATAGCTGACCTTCAGTCTCATTCTTGAGACTCAGCCTGCCTTGGACTCCAGACCCCATCCATGGATTTCAGCCTACTGCCTTAGATCCAATCTTGATACGCTGCCAAGTGTCCTGATCCCCCGCACTCTCTGCTGGGGTTAATAATTTGGTAGACTGTAACCTGGAGCTGCTGGTGGCCATTTTTGTCGCCACATAGGGAGAGCCTGCTTGGGGATGAAGTCAACCCAGAGGAAAGCAAAACTGAAACAGAGAGGCAAATTTGTCACAAGATTGACCCATCCCTAAAGCCAGCAATCCACCAATGGACTCTGTGGTTTATTAACCAACATATTTACTTTTATTGCGTAAGTCAGCATGAGTTGGATTTCTGTTACTTGAAACTATGCAGCTAGCTAAGAAAGACTGATTGATATTTTCTTCTACTTTACCAGCTGGGTAAACCTGCAGGAAGGAAACACACAATTTGCTTTTGCAAGTTGAAGAACACGTGCTCAGGAATATAAATTAACATGCCCAGTATATGCATAGAGCTAGAAAAGAGAAGACTTAAGATTTTTTTAAAAACATATTTCATTATTGATTTAAGAGAGGAAGGGAGAGAGAAAGAGAGATAAAAACAGCAATGATGAGAGAGAATCATTGATCGGCTGCCTCCTGCATGGCCCCTACTGGGGATCGAGTCCTCAATCCAGGCATGTGCCCTTGGCCAGAATCAAACCTGGGACCCTTCGGTCGACAGGCCGACGCTCTATCCACTGAGCCAAACCAGCTAGGGCAAGATTTAAGATTTGAACAGGGCTCTGATAGGCTGTGAAGCTTGTGTTGTTTTTATTGCATTATGCTACTGTTCTTATGTAACAGTTGAATGAAATCTGTTTCTTTTCCTTTTGTAAAATGGGAATAACACTACCTATGTCCTAGTGTTATTATAAGAAATAGATACAATGTACTTGGTACCTGGCACTAAAAGGCATTCAAAAAATGGTAGTTATTTTAATTATCAAACACCTTGATGTACAAGGACCTTGGGCTACTATATTCTAGAGCAGCAGTTCTCAACCTGTGGGTCAAGACTCCTTTGGGGGTCGAACGGCCCTTTCACACGGGTCACCTAAGACCATCGGAAAACACATCTACACTAATAAAAGAGAAACATGGTAATTGGCGTACGACTGCTACCCTTTTCATTGGCTAATCAGCAAGATATGCAAATTAACTGTCAGCCAAGATGGCGGCCGGCAGCCAGGCAGCTTGAAACTAACATGAGACTTGCTTGCCTCAGTGACGGAGGAAACCAATGTTCCCCGCCTGCGGCTGCAGGCCTCTGAGCGGGCAGTTTAAGAAACATTGTAACAAATACCGCCGGACTTCAGTCAGCAGATTCGCAACATTGTAAGCAAAGGCCAGAGACCTACTTTCAGCCGCGGAGGCCTAAGAGCTGGAGCCAAGCCTCAAGGTAAAGCTGGCCCAGAATAAAAAAGAAAAAAGAAAAAAAGGAGTGTTTGGGAACTTCAGTCACTCCCAGCCTGAAAACAGCCCTCAGCCCCTCACCCAGACTGGCCAGGCACCCCAGTGAGGACCCCCACCCTGATCCAGGACACCCTTCAGGGCAAACCAGCTGGCCCCACCCATGCACCAGGCCTCTACCCTATAAAGTAAAAGGGTAATATGCCTCCCGGCACCAGGATCAGCGTGATGGGGGCAGCGCCCAAACCCCCTGATCGCCCTGCGGCTCTGTGTGTGACAGGGGGTGGGGCCACAACCCCCTGAGCAGCCCTGCTCTGTGCCTGATAGGGGGGAGCTCCCCAACACCCCCCCTCCATGGGCCCTGCTCTGTGTGTGATGGGGTAGAGCCATAACCTCCCCATCGGCCCTGCCCTGAGTGTGAGAGTGGCGGCACCCCAACCCCCTGATTGGCCCTGCTCTGTGCGTGATAGGGGGTGGCGCTGCAACCTCCCCATCAACCCTGCCTTGAGTGTGACAGGGGGCGGTGCCTCAATCCCCCAATCGGCCCTACCCTGAGGGTGGCATCGCAACCTCCCAATCCGCCCTGCTCTGTGTATGATGGGGCGGCGCCCCAACTCCCCAATCGGCCCTGCTCTGAGCCTGACCAGGGGCTGC